GTAGAACCACTTTTTGGTTATTTCATTGATAAATCCTTCAACAAAGCAAGACAAAAATAATATTGAGTAGCACTTTATTAGTAAAACAAAGTCAACAAAATAATATTCTATTTATATACTCAATCAATCCTAAACACACACAAATAACCTAAAGTATTTGAAAATAATCCTTAATCAGAAGCAGCTTTAGAATTGGATGGATAATAAAGTAAAAATGTTGAACTATAATTAATTCTTACCGATAAGAATAGACATCCTTGAACGTGGTTTTGTCACCTGAGTCATCAGTTATCTTGTCAATGGCAATGAGAATGAGTGAAATAAGAAGGAACACAAAGGTTAAGACCCTCGAAAAGAGAACAACCATTCTTGAAACTGTGGAATTGGAGGGTGCACTATCCATATCTCAGGATTCTCGTAGGTACCCAAAAATTTGCTTGTACTTGCCAGCCATATGGTAGAGTTTTTGGCCTTTTATAACAATAATAATATGAACGTGTTGCAGCTCTCGTTTACTCAGGATAAGAGCAAAGTCAATTGGCTAAGTAGATACGCAGAATGATTTCAAATAAAATAAAAATAGGTGACTTTGAAAATGGTGGCATCACAACTAGCTAGCCTAATCGATTCATTGACTAAACGTAGTTGAATACAAATTTCTGCGAAAGTTCACATTTTTTGATATCATTGACTTCACATTGGTTGACCTTTTAATTAATTAGCTGGGATTTTTGTGTCTTCAGTAGTATACTAGACGTCTTTGATGATATGATATCATCTTTCTCTTTTTAATTATATAGGACTTGCATGTTGGTGTATTTTTAATAAAAAAATGTGACTAATTTTTACATAGAAGTAAAATAATGTAAATATTATCTGTAAGAATTAATTAAAGAGTAAAAATTATTATTTAAAATTTTAAACGTTTTGTGATAATTGAATAAATATTGTAAAAAAATAAAATATCTAAATAACTTGATAAATAAAAAATATCGTCATATTTTTAAAATATATTAAAAATATGAAGATATTTTATAATTATTTATAAAAATATAATAAAGATGAAACATATCTTCTAAATATATTTTTGTCATTTTTAAAAGCTTTTGCCCACAGCGTTGTTGACACGAATTCATAAGTCAAGAGCGTGAAACTTACTCGTACATTCATTGGATTCAATATAATATTATTTTTTAAATGTTTTCAACATAAATTTATTGAAATCCGCAACCAGTTGTCATTCTTAAAATCAAAACACAGCAAAAGAAAAAAATTAAGACAGTAATCGGAATGCATTTGTCAACTCTGTGTCTTTATTTGACTAAAGCTTTAACACTTAAATTTATAAAAATAATTATTATCATAATAAGATCCAGGAAAATTCAGGAATGTCAAATATTTGGCACTTCTAAGCTACTCATAGTTCATTATATATTTACATTGGACTATTCAGCCCAAAAGACCCATAAAACAAAACTGGCAACCCATTGAAAGGACTGTGTTATCCTATGTAGCCCATTAACCCATGTGCAAAAAAGATAACCAGGCTCAGAAACAGAGTAGCTGGACTACTGTGCCTCCATAGCCTGTGTGTGTGTGTGTTTTTTTTTTCTCTTAAAATTTATTTTAAAATAGTAAATAAAATATAAAAAATACAATAAAAAATCATTTTAAAATAGAAAAAAATTTCTAATATTTTTAAATTTAGACTATTCATTAAAATGAAAATTTTATTGGTTCTTTGATTATTGATTCAACTATAATTAAATTGGAGTCAAACCAATAATATATATATATAGTTAATAATAAATTAATATACAATTATATAAAATTTTAAATTAACATGGAAGAATCATATTACATGTCTTATTAAATAAGGGGAAAATCACAATGAATAGCTAATAATAGTGATTCACAAATAATTTTATATATGACATTGGTTTATTTTTAAGTTATATATTTAGAATTTGAATATTTTAACAAAATTTTAAAAACAATAGTTTATAACTGATTTGACTTATTATTAACCAAGTTTTTTCCTTTTTTTTTCCTATGTTTTTATATTATTTAGACATATGACCTTATTGTTTTGAAGTAATTGGCTGATTTAATCTAACTTTCTGAACAATGACAATTACATTCAACGAAAGTTTGAAAAGCTGCTTCGATGTGCAGGAAAATTATAATGATAATCGAAATAGCTCTAATGGAAAATAAAGATGATGAAAACATGGAATCTTTTTTTAGCAAAGATTGAGTAAGAAAGTGACAAAAACGAGCTTGATTATGAAGACTAATACAAACTAAAGTGAAAAGGAGGTTGACTCTGTAGAATATTCTCAGCAAGATATCTATGAAGCCAAATCTTTATGGAATATGGGGTAGCTTCTTGTCAGTCACAGCTAAATAGTATAAACTTCTTAGATTTGTACCTATCTTATACATACACAAACACACCTTAAACAACTACAATTGTATCTCTATCTTGGAGATTTTGAATTAAATTTTCTTTTCTTAATATTCTAAAAGCTGAATAGTGTTTTTTTTTTTAATTTCAATTTCATGCACCTCAATTTATGAGAAAGCTGTGTCTTTGACATTTGTTTCTCTGACTTTGGTAAATAAGTGTCTTCAAATGATTGGTTAAAATTTTAAAAGTAACTTTTTTGTCTATAATTTTCACAATACCCCAAAAAGAAAGTTATAGTTTTGACTATTTTATTTAGTAGGAAATTGCAATATACAGCACTATACTACTTTGCAATGTTGTTGTATATACATAAAGACAGTGAGGATGTATATACATTAATCTCAAAATGACATAAACAAAGGGAGGTAGAGTTGGGGAATCAAGAGTCACAATCTAATCTTAAAATGAAGATTTGATGCAGAAGGGGTATGTTTGGGATGCATCATCAAACAGGGAAGGGTTGGCTAAGTAAAGTAAGAGTCCCCACCTTAGCCATATGGTTGCTGACCGCCATTCCTTCTTCCTCCCCACAATAACTGGCGGCTTTGTCCACTCCTCCACCATTCTTTGTCCCTCACATGTCTCCCAACATTTCTTTTTACACAGCTTCTTCAATACATATATTTGAATTTTGGTAAAAAAAGGTGGGGTCTAATTGCTTGCTACATTGTATTCTAATCAAATATTGTGTTTTTATTACATAAGTAATAGTTTGGAGGGTATTTGTACTTAATTGTTTTGTATCCATTGTTCATTAATCGATTTTTATAAGGTGTGTTTAAAAGTTCACAGTAAGAGTTTATGTATAATGATGTTATAATAAAAATCAATGCAACGATTAATTATTTGCACGTTTTTTATATGCCTGAGCATGAGCACATCAGTGAAACCTTCCATCACTTTCGATCCTCAAACGGTCAATTCAATTTCAACACAATTTGGCTCACACTGGACCAATTAAGAAGTTGTTTATATACCAAGTATGTATAATCGATTTCCATAGAAATTCATCAAATATATATATATATATATATATATATATATATATATATATATATATATCTATGTCCATGTTAATTCACAAATCGATTATCATCATTAAAACCCTGCACCAAGCAAGCATTAAATTTAGGGTGTAGTGCCTTGGTGGTAAGTGGTAACTCTTTCATTATTTCATTTTGTAACAAACAAATGAATCGATGATTAATACAGTGATAATGTATATAATTTACTTTTTACTCTTCGTTCTTAAACAAAAACATTTTTAAAAATTGTTTCAAACAAAAATATTTTTTATAATTTTATAATTTTAAAAATTTACCTATTTAATTTAACCTTATTTAACATAAATATTTATTATTAATGATTACAATATTTAATTTTAAAATTTATAAAATGTGCTTTTTAAATATTTATAAAATATATTTTAAAAATAAAAAGAAATAAAAGAATAAAACTGCGTTCCATTGTTTTCATATTTGATTTAATTTGATAAAATTATTTATAATAAGAGAAAAAATGAAAGTATTTAAATTAAATTAAAATTAATATTGATCCTCTCAACTTAAAAAATAATAATTTTATTTATATTTTTAAAAAATTAAGGTATACATGTTAATTTGAATACATAAAACAAGCTTAATTAATAATATTGAAGAATTTATCTAAATTGTAAATATTTATGTAATTAATTACTATATAGTCGTCATTCTTTATGATTTTTCTTTTCGTTTACAATATATAAAATAACTTCTGAAATAATATATACCCTTCAACTTATAAATATATTTTTTAAGGTGGGAGTGGGGATTAAAACTATCTAATTGATCAGTGCTAGTTTTATATTCTACATCCTTTATTAACTTTTTAAATTTATACAACTCTCTTCATATGAGCATAAGGGTACTGAATCTTGTTACGCTGAACTTAGGTTAGCTGGAGTGTATGATCATTAATGCACCTTCAATTTTATGAACAGAGGATTGAAATGTCAATAAATATCACAATATACAAAAAGGTATCTAAATTTATGATACATCATATTATGGAATAATTTTGTATATAAAGAAAAAGCTGTTACTACCAAAAAAAAAGTTTAATTAAATACAAAAATAATGTCTACTTTTTCTTGCAAGAGAGCTAACGGAAGGGAAACAAAGGTACGTTCGATTGTGACGCATCCACCGAAGACCTCCCCACCATGAGTTCATGACTCATCACCTTTTTACTTTTAAATTCTATATTATTATTTTTAAATTTTTTTAAGGCTTGAAAAACCACATAGTACAAAATATACTATGTTAATGTAAAGCTAGGGCTAGGGTTTCTCTCTCATCTTGAGTCTTAACATGCATGGCGATTGGAGAGAAAAGTCTTTAATGTTAATGCCACAGTAAAAGCAGAAGATAAAGGTGCTTATAGAATAAGAAACCCGTTTGGTGCTCTTCAATAATCACACAAAATTTAATAGAAACAAAAAGAGGAGAGAATGGAGCTAAGAGGGAGGAAGAGATAAAGAGGAAAGAAATTAAGAACAAAAATAAATTAAATAGACACACCCCCACAACCTCCTTTATCTTTTCCCGTCCCCTTGTGATCTCTTTCTCTGCAACTCTCTCATGTTGATGTGATTCTCCACCCACACACACCACCAAAGAACCCATCAAACTTTTACAAAAGAGAAAGAAAGCTCTCTAATTAAGAAGAACCATGGTCTTCCCGTCCCTTCCAATCTATCTAGATCCACCCAACTGGTCACAACAGGTAAGGATTAATTCTTTCATTCTCTTCCCTTTCTTCTTTCTTATTAACTTCTTCATCAATAAAGCTAAGAATACAATTAATCTCTAAAACACATATTCCTACACATACACTTTATCAATCTCTTATTTTATTTTTTTCCCTGAATATACTCTTTGTATGTGTGTACACATATAGATATTCAATTATGTAGTTTATTTATTTATTTATATTTTAGCTCACACTTGTAAAAAAAACTTCACAGCAACCTAATCAGCAAGCAGGGATTGGCACCCACAACTCTCAGATTCCACCACTTCCGCAGCCACCATCAGCAGCGGTGACGGCTGGTGTTGGAAGTGGTGGTTATCAGGGCTCTATAAGGCCAGGATCAATGGCTGATAGAGCCAGGTTGGCGAAGATACACCAACCTGATGCAACACTAAAATGCCCACGATGTGAATCTACAAACACCAAGTTCTGCTACTACAACAACTATAGCCTTTCACAGCCTCGTCACTTTTGCAAGACTTGTCGTCGTTACTGGACTAGAGGAGGTGCACTCAGAAACGTGCCAGTTGGAGGCGGTTGTAGAAGGAACAAAAGAAATAAAGGAAGCAATAGATCGAAATCTCCTATGAAACCTGCAACAGGTTCTACCTCTGCAAGTGCAAATTCTTCTTCTAGTGGCTGCACTAGTGATCATGTGATGATGGGTCATTTGCAAACTCAAACACCAACTCAATTTCCATTCTTGGCCTCTTTGCATCATTATAATAACAGTGAATACATTTCTGGGGGCATTGGCTCGCATTTTGGGCCAATCTCAACATCTTTGGTGGCTAGAAATGGCAACACTAGTGCTGGCAGTGATGTTGAGTTTCAAATTGGTACTAGTTCATCCTCATCGCTTGGTAATAGTGGCGCGTCTATGTTGTCAAATGGCCTTGGTGAGCAATGGAGGTTGAACAATTTGCAACAAGTTCAACAACAGTTCCCTTTCTTGAGCACTAGTTTGGAACCACAAATTGGGGTGTTTCAGTTTGGTGGAGAAAATAATGCTGAACCGCCAAGTTATGCAAAGGATGGAAACCGGTTTATTCGTTCTAAAATGGATTCTACTTCTAGTGTTAGTGGAATAATGCCTCAGCTTAACTCAATAAAAATGGAAGAAAATCAAGGGTTGAGTTTGCCAAAAAATCTCTTGATGAGCGGTTCGGGAAATGATCTATTTTGGAATGGAAGTGGCAATGCATGGAGTGAAGTTCCTAGTTTCACTCCTGCACCGAGTCACATGTTGTGATCCTTGAAATTAAACTACTCCCATTCTACTTTCTTTGCTTTCCTTGTAGCCTCAAATTTTTATGATCATAGAAATGATCGTATGTATAAGAAGTTAGAACCAATATCACTTGCTAACCATGCATGGAATGGAATGCTACCCTTTATGAGTCTTACGAGGATAAATGGGAAGGATCAGATTCAGAACACTTTGTATTACCTGAAGACGAGAAAATGGTACGCAACGCTTTTCCGTCGATGGATATCGGTAATAATTTTTGTTGTACTCCAAGTTTGAACATGAGCGAAGTATTGGTGTATTTGTTTTTATGCATGTTGTGATGACATGAACGGTTAAGCTGGTATTACTAATTGTGTGCAGTTATTTGGACTAGAAGGGTTTTTATGTTATAATTCCATTTTTTTTTATTCACTCATTGATGATTTGCACCAGGTGTAAGTTTAAGAGTTTATTTTTGTATTAAGATTAAGAAAATTACATCATTAATGTCTAAATTTCGATCCTTAATTTTCTTTACTTTTATCAAACCAAATATGCTTATTGTCATTATCTTTCCAAAGCACGTATATAAATTTACCGGGTAATTCTTTTTTGGTTACAATATATACCGGGTAATTAAAACGTGCCAAGAAAACATTTGAATAAAAAATAATGGTCATATTTGAGTATAATAATGTAAGAAATTCTAGCAAACCGGTTAAGATACGTGGAATTTTTTAGTCATTTGACAATATGAAACATATACATGTTGAGAGAGAGAGAGAGAGAGAGAGCAGTGAATTTTGAAGATGCGTTTTCCAACACTTGTAAGCCCCCTTCTACATTCCCTGCACCTCTTTCTCTCTCACATATTATATAAGTTAGCGAACTGATGAACAGTGATAGGCACCAGTCACATAAATATACTTTTTCCTCTTCAGGGCAATGCGAAATTCAAAGCAAGGAGCCTACCAAATTTTGTGGGCTATAATTCTACAGCAAGATGCTAAAGAAATATGCATGATGATTCAGTTTCATAAGATGAAAATTCCCCATGCATTAATTTTGTCATGTTTAAGCTCTAGTTTGATCTGACTCACTGCTGCTAGTACGTTCATCTTGCTTTTTTATTCATCTAAAGAGAAACTTCAAATTCCTAGACTTCTCTTGGTCTCACATTTTGAGAAGGCCTTTTTCATCTTTGGTTACTTATTTTTAACCCTTCAAGGAAAAAGCACTTTGAATACATCCAAATTGGGACCATGGGAGTGAGAGAGAGTCACATTGATTTGGTAGAATTGTAGTAATACGAATATGTACTAATTTGGTGGCGAAAATGATTATCAAATTATAAGGAAATTGACCAAATAAATCTATCGTACTTGTTTGTTTTATATGTAATCTGAGAGTGGCAAAGGAGGGTGTGTTTTGGAAAGAAACGCCAAAATACCGCTAAAAACCATGCAACAACTCTTTCATCCACTATAACTTTAGACATGACTTCAATTCAAAAACAAAAGAACTAAACTAAACAAGACAAAGAAAAAAAGGAGAAACAATCAAATGCTAGATTGCTAATTTAAACCTTTAAGTGTCCAAAAAAACAAAAACAGGTAGAGGAATGAGAAACAGAAACATGAAAAAAGAATGCGAAAAAAGGGGCATTTTTTATTGGAGGCTTACAAATTCTTCCTTAGCCCTCAACTTTCATTTTTTAGTTTTTGTTTTGTTATAAAATAACAAAGCACACGGAAATCAATCTCAAAAGCAGATTTGTCATAATCTAATTATGATTATGATGTCATTCATATCAGATAATTCAACGGGGCTTTAGAGAAGGAATCTGGGAGTCTTAATTGGTTTGCTTTTTGCAATTTTCAAAGCTGGCTAATTGCTTGGTTACAAGGAATAAAGGTGTCACAACATAGTCAAAAAAGAGAATCTCTCTCACTCTCTCTCTTGGAGGAAACAGTGAAGGGTGGTTTTTGTTGGTCGGTTGGTCGTAAGAGTATTGATGAGATTGTGATCACAAAAATGTGTATATATAAAAAAGCAAAGAAACTTCGAAGAAAGAGGAGCAGGCCACCAGAAGAAGAAGAAGAAGAAGGAGAAGTAAGAAGGAACAGCAACTAAAGGTAGCTCGGAATCCCAAGCATTAGCTTTTACTATACCATTGTTGCTGATACCCACATGTCTAGGCGTGAATATGTTCTCTCTGTTTCCCTCTCAGCTTTTGCTTTTTGTGACGTCCTTTGGAACATTATCTCTCTCTATTTGATCCCTCTTGCTTCCAAGGCCTTGTTTGCCCCACATTGCCTCAATCATTTATCTGTTAGATTCTTTGTTACTTTTTTTTTAAATTATACACATCTTACTGTATATAAACGTGGACATGCAACCTTATTCTTCAAATTTATTATGATGAAACCCATTGCATTTTATATCTTTTCAAAAAATAAAGGAAAAAAATTCTTGAGCATGAAACTGATTTCTTAATTTGCTAGCTATCAAATTCAATACTAGAAAACCAATTAATACCAAAAAATTCTTACAGTTTTAAATTTATTCTGACGGCATATATGTCTAGGGAGTTTAGGTTATATAGCTGAGAATCTTATATCATTGCAAAGTCACTCTAAACTTTACAAATATATATTCTATTCTTCTTCTTTACTTTACTCAGTAATGAAACGAGTCTTCAAAACTACAATAAATGAGAAAGATGTTGATTTGTATGCAACCAGGACAATCAATGGACTCACTTTTTGTTTTAAGATGATAGGAAAAATCCATCAAAAAGGAAAATAAAAGCTACTTCATTTTTAGAATTTAGGGTATTATTGCATCACCCTAAATTTTGAAGAATATGAGTTATAAGTGGCAATTCAGATTTAAAGAGTGTTGTAAAAAAATTATGAAATTTATTTGAGTTAATGAAAATGTTTTATGATCTTAATAATTTTTTATATGTTAATTTAATAAATTTTTTAGTATAACTTGTTGAAATAAACTTTTAATTTATTTTAATTAATAAATTTTATAATTAAATTTATAAAATAAACTATCATCAAACAAAATACTACTAAATAAGTGTTTAATTCAATTATTTATCTAAACATGTTCTTAGTACAATCTCTTGTACACTTATGGGTGTTGCCCATGAGTGTTTGAAGACATAATTAAAAAGTATTTATTATAAAATTATATACGTTTAATTATGTAAAAAGATAAATCTTAAATTTTCAGCTTTTCAAATATTATATTTCAGTGATTGTCTCTTTCTTGGTCCATTGGGCCTGGATATAGATCTATAAAAAATGAAAGGCCATTGACCACCACATACAAAACGTGATCGACGATTGAGGGGAAACAGGTTTAATTTGAAAAGGCCTTGGCTTGTGGACCAAAAAATAAATAGAAAAAGCACACTTAGGTTTAAAGCTGGCCCATTATTAACAAAACGTTAACAAAAAAAAAACAGTCTCCATATCAATTGGACCGAAAACTAATCCTTATTGATACAAAGTATCAAAATTCAAATGTTTAAAACAAAATTTAAATTAATTAAAATTATAATAATCAAATTAAAAATTGAAATATAATAATTTTAAATTTTCATTTATATAAAAATGATATCTTTAATTTGACTCAGTGTTTCAAAATTTTAAAATTAAATTAAATTTTAAAAAAGAAATAGTATTTGAAAGAAATTGAAATTAACTAACAAATTAAATATTTAATATTAAAAAATCACCTGATATAATAAAAAAATATTATATTTAACTCTAAAATTTACTCCCAGTGATAAAAATATTCTCGAAGGTTTAGATTTAAGTTCTATTTGGTGGATATGGCAATAAAGAGAGGAAATTAGATTAAGTCCAAACATATACTATCTCAATTAAAAAGTTGAGTAAGAAAAACTGAAGTTAAGCTAATTATTAAAAACTATTTATTTGTGATTCTCGTGTTTATTATTATTTTTTATTATTAATAAAATTATAAAAAAAATGTTAAACAGAAATGACTTAGTTACTACGTTTGTGTTGTGTGAAAGAGCTAAGGAAGTGGTATTAACGAACGAGAAACGGGAAATGTGAAATGGTCCACAAAGACGGCTTAGGTTAAGGTTTGGATCCCACGTAATGTTAATGGAACATTCTAGAAACTATCTTCTGAAACCTATATATATCTCTTGCCTCTCTTTCTTTCTCAATTCATTCGAAGATTCCCTCTCTCTCTTTCTCAATTCATTCTAAGACTCTCTTCTCTTTTTGTTTCTTATTTATTTTTTTACCTTTCCAAGTTGCCGGAAAATGGCCGGAAAAGGTGAGGGACCGGCGATCGGAATCGACCTCGGCACCACCTACTCCTGCGTCGGAGTGTGGCAGCACGACCGCGTCGAGATCATCGCCAACGACCAAGGAAACCGTACGACGCCGTCTTATGTTGCCTTCACTGACTCCGAGAGGTTGATCGGGGATGCCGCTAAGAACCAGGTTGCCATGAATCCGATCAACACTGTTTTCGGTAATTCATCTCAAACCATCTTTCTCATCATGCGTTCAATGATTCAACTCTAATTTATTGTTATTATTATTAATCTCATTTTGATCCGTAGCTTTTGGATGTAAAATCTTATTTGGACATTTTGCAGAGTTCATGTTTGGTTCAGTTCAATTACAAGGGATTGTTAATCTCTCTTTTTAAGATGATTAAATAAATACTTTAATAAATAAAAACATGACTATAAATTAGTGATTCTCATGATCTATCTCAATTAGGATGGTTTGTGTATGTTGTTGATAACTGGGGATTGTGATGTTGCAGATGCGAAGAGGTTAATTGGGAGGAGAATTAGCGACCCTTCTGTTCAGAGTGACATGAAGTTGTGGCCATTCAAGATCATTGCCGGTGCTGGTGAAAAGCCCATGATTGTGGTTAACTACAAGGGTGAGGAAAAGCAATTTGCTGCAGAGGAAATCTCTTCTATGATTCTAACAAAGATGCGGGAGATTGCAGAGGCTTATCTTGGATCAACTGTGAAGAATGCTGTTGTCACTGTGCCTGCTTACTTCAATGACTCTCAGCGACAGGCCACCAAAGACGCAGGTGTTATTGCTGGCCTCAATGTTATGAGAATAATCAATGAACCAACTGCTGCAGCTATTGCATATGGGCTTGACAAGAAAGCTACCAGTGTTGGTGAGAAGAATGTTTTGATCTTTGATCTTGGAGGTGGTACATTTGATGTTTCTCTTCTCACCATTGAGGAGGGTATCTTTGAAGTCAAGGCCACTGCTGGAGACACGCATCTTGGAGGAGAGGATTTTGATAACAGAATGGTGAACCACTTTGTGCAGGAGTTCAAGAGGAAAAACAAAAGGGACATTAGTGGAAACCCGAGAGCTCTCAGGAGGTTGAGAACTGCCTGTGAGAGAGCGAAGAGGACGCTATCGTCCACTGCACAGACCACCATTGAGATTGATTCTTTGTTTGAGGGAATTGACTTCTATTCAACGATCACTCGGGCTAGGTTTGAGGAACTCAACATGGACCTCTTTAGGAAGTGTATGGATCCTGTGGAGAAGTGTCTTAGGGATGCAAAGATGGACAAGAGCAGTGTTCATGATGTTGTTCTTGTTGGTGGTTCTACAAGGATTCCCAAAGTTCAGCAGCTCTTGCAGGATTTCTTCAATGGGAAAGATCTGTGCAAGAGCATCAACCCGGACGAAGCTGTTGCTTATGGTGCCGCTGTCCAGGCAGCTATTTTGAGTGGTGAAGGCAATGAGAAGGTTCAAGATTTGTTGCTTTTGGATGTTACCCCATTGTCTCAGGGTTTGGAGACTGCTGGAGGTGTCATGACTGTGTTGATTCCAAGGAATACTACAATTCCTACCAAGAAGGAACAAGTGTTTTCAACATATTCAGATAACCAACCTGGTGTCTTGATTCAAGTTTATGAGGGTGAGAGAACAAGGACCAGGGATAACAACTTGCTTGGCAAGTTTGAGCTTTCGGGCATTCCTCCGGCTCCTCGTGGTGTTCCTCAGATCACAGTTTGCTTTGATATTGATGCTAATGGTATCTTGAATGTCTCTGCCGAGGACAAAACCACAGGGCAGAAGAACAAAATTACCATTACCAATGACAAAGGGAGATTGTCAAAGGAAGAAATTGAGAAGATGGTTCAAGAAGCAGAGAAATACAAGTCTGAAGATGAGGAGCACAAGAAGAAGGTTGAGGCGAAGAATGCCCTGGAGAACTATGCCTACAACATGAGAAACACTATAAAGGATGAGAAGATAAGCTCAAAGCTTTCCTCAGGAGACAAGACAAAGATTGAGAGTGCAATTGACCAAGCCATTCAGTGGCTTGATTCGAATCAGCTTGCTGAGGCAGATGAATTTGAAGACAAGATGAAGGAGCTTGAGAGCATATGCAATCCTATTATAGCCAAGATGTACCAAGGTGGGGCTGGTGCAGGTGGTGACGTGGATGATGATGCTCCTCCTGCTGGTGGTAGTGCTGCTGGCCCCAAGATCGAGGAGGTTGATTAAGTGGATTAGTTAACATTGCTAGAAAATTATTGTTAAGGTTGGGTTATAGCTTTTATATTATTTTCCTTTCATGATTTCTATTACTGTTTTCAACTTTTTCATTTGTTTGAAAATTGAAAACTAGCATACTTCGCAGATTGTTACTTCCGACAATATAATTTTAGCATCCAATTTTGCAAATTTTTCAGTATTATGGGTCAATGTAATAGTGTTTATAAACCAAAATTACTATATTTATCTTCGCACCAGTTTCAGAAACATACTTTTTCAGTGTAATGTTGCTGTTATTGTTATTATTATTATTATTATTATTATTATGAAGTAAAAACAATGAAATAAAAACTACTTAAAATAAAATTACTCGTTTACTTAATGGCATTTACATGTTTACATAATTACATGTGTATAATCAACACAGATCTAATATCAATAACTTGAACAAATAATTAATGATTTGTATATTATTTTGTTAACTTATGTTAATAAAATTTCTAATATAACTTTTTAAAACAATTTTTCTAGTTTGTTTTAATAATTTTTATATTTATATTTATCATATAAACTCCTGTTTAGAAAGAATTATTAAATAAAAACTTAATTAAATTATATATCCAAACATAAAGATGATTACAGCCACGGGGAATGAGGGGAGCGAAGCGAGGAATCAGTTCAATCACTCGTAGATACATAGATAGCGTCATTCTCAGGATCACAATGTAATTTGTGAAACTACAGTTAGAGATTTAATCGCTGAGATTGCATTATATCACAAATCCGTATGAAACTAAATGTAAATTTTATCGTTGAGATTGCATTATACCACAAGTGTGGTCGCCTTGTGCAGTTATAACTGAGCAAGAATAATGATATGTGTCAAGATGAGCACAGTATCGTGCATGTGTGGCTGCCATATCTAGAGCTGACAAAAAAGTTATACAAAAAGATTCATTATGCCATATGTTTTAGTCCACTAGAGGTTGAAACCTTATTGATGACCTCCTCTTCCATTTTGACTAGTTGATGACAAAACATTTCAACATCATTTGCCTCTTCCTTGAACATGAACCTGAATTCTTTCCACTGGTAGCTACCAATGCCATCCTTCAAAACTGGACTGGTAACTTTTGCCAGGACATCAAATCCCTTGCGATCAATGGATGATATATATGCATCCTTAATACAAAGCAGGTGGATTCGTTAGTTCCTAAAATTATTTTGCAAGAATAGAAAAAAAAAAAAAAGGTAAAAGAATTGATGCGGTATGGTAAAATATGGGCCCTGCATGCATAAGCACTATCAGCTTTGTCATCAAATGAGATGATATTATTTCAATGTTGATTAGATATTCTTGATTCAAAGATAACATATTTTGGAGTTCATCTTTGGAACACGGTACAAAACCAGCAAACCAAAAGAAACTATGTAAGTTCTACCATAGAAGTGTCATTAAAGATAGAGAAGTTACATCATAAAGCCATTACCCTGCCGTATGAGGATATAAAATTCTATAAAATTAATGGGGTATTTTTCTGCTTCTAAAATGCTTTGCAGTTCTCAATTATATAAACATTACAATGTATCCCATAATCACACGAATATTATAAAGAATAGAAATTAACCAACTGCAGAATTGGGGCATTGTAAAGAATAATGAAGATCATTGAGTTACCTTTGCATTAGCATCCTTGTGAACAAAACAAAAAAGCATGAGGGCTCTACGCCTAGCCTCACTTTGGTTAATCCCATCAATCAACTTTGCTGAAAATGGTGCTAAACAAGAAACATAAAAGAGATGTGAATCTTTTGTTGCACAAAAAAGAGATACTACTTAACCAATTTCAAACCAGGTCTTTACCTAATAGATCGGCTTTGGATTTTTCCAAATCTTCAATATCCACTTCAAAAGTTCCTCCATGGCCATCAACAAATGTACAAGATCTAACATTTAACTCTTTCATTAGATGGAAAAGACATTTGAAGTATTCTGATTTCATTAATGATTGTCCTGATCATCCTCTACTTGGATGTAGTATGAGAAAAGCTCAGCATGGGCAAAGATCTGATACACATATTAGATCCTTAACCGGTTCTTAAAATGCTAATATCTTTTCACAGTAACCACTAATCAAGTTTCATAACTAAATATTGCTAGAACTTATCAACTTAATCAAAATTGTAAACCCAAAAAGTTTCACAGAAGGAAACAAAGCAGTGTGCGTAGTTTGTAGTTAGCTCCGTAACAATTTGATATTTGCATGTTAAACCTGTACCGAACTGTAATAAACTGTTCAGGAATGCATGACCCAACTTAGATGCCAAAACCATACATGACTTTGGCATTCATCTAGTGAAATAACAAAATTCAAGATATTTTTTTTGGGTCAGGATTTAAACATACACTTACCTAGTTTTAAATCTATATACAGAGTATTTTTCACTGTCTCCCAATAGATCCTGTAGATTATCACTCCGTGATGTGCTGGTGACACTAGAACTTAGTACTCCAGAAACAGTGTAAGTGAACTCTTTGATTACTTTTTGCTCAGAAAGTATGACTTCCTGAAGTTTTTCTGCAAGAGACTTAGCCTACACCAAAATCAATAGCATAATTTAAAAATTGAGAACAAGTCTATATCAATATACATAATTCTGTTGTCACTTGGCAATATTATGATAAGCCACCTTTCATAATATTACACCAAACCTGGCTGGAGGATCCCAAGGAGGACTCTAGAGCTTACATTAGAAAACAAAGATGGAGGAATGAAAAGTTAAATTAACATTTTCAAATGGCATTTTGGAGGACTGCCATTATTTTGGTAAACTATAGTAGCAAACATGAAATGATAAAGAGCAGGCATAAGCAAAGTTGGTGTGGCATCACCTTATCTTCTTTAAGAGGAAGAACATCCCCAGATAAAGCAACCCGTGCTGGGAACTGCAGCATGGGAAGCAATTAACCAATTAGCTTATAGATTTATTTCTTCTCACTATAAGAGAATCCAAAAGCAAGTACAATTAGGACAAAACCATTTTATTATTTCCTTTTCTAGAGAACCAAGCTACAGCAGAAAAAAATTCTCATATAGGATTATATAGTAGTTTCAAAAGAAAACACATGTAATACATGCAGTACCTTTTTCATTGATTTCAGTAAGACCCCTAGTGGGCCTGGAAAGGGGCTGGTCACAGAAAATGAACCACGCTCATCAATGATTGCATTCTGCACTCAACACAAGTCAAATGTGATATCTTTGCAACTATGAAATATACCCAGATGTTCTAACAAATCTAGTCTCATTTTGATAAGTGCAAGTAAACAGTAGTGAGAGAACAAAAAAAGGATGTCATTCACTAGATGGTAGCCCTCTACACATATCTTCTAACAAGTTATTCCTACAATATGATGAACTCGACAGGTCAAGCTGATAGCATGAATTTAAACGCAGAAACTAATAAGCAGAGGTTAACAGATTAATCACCATACAAACAACCAGTCATCATTAGAAGTAATTAAAAAGAGAAAGAATCATAACTAAGCATCAAATTTTACTTTGGTCTTTGGAGATGAAATCATGAAAATGCTTCAATATAATACATTGGCTTTTAACAAAATCTTGCAAATTCCTCACCACTACTATGAATCTCTCACATTTTTAGTTCTAATTCAATTCTAAAAATGCCAGTGAGGCTCATCCCATCATAGGTGCCAACAAGAAATGGTAGATGAAACAAAAGTCTTGCATTCTAGTGCCATAGAGCACATTCATTTTCCTCCAAGCAAATGTGCCATAGGTAATCACTGTGTTTATGCAATAAAGTTCTGATGGTCAGACAAATTATCCTAAAGCAAGGTTGGTACCACAGGCTTCACTCGTAAATATGGATCAGTTTATGGTGACACCACAAATTAGGCCAACATTGCTTGTGCTGAATGTGCTGACTGTTTTCTCTTCATGGCTTCCATGCACAAGCTTCTCTACTAATAAGTCCTCCTTCATGGTGAACTTGTTGAACAGGTTTATAAGGAACTATAACCCAGTTTCGTTGTTTAGGTTAAGTCTACACAAGTTTTACGACTGTCATTCTCTCTCTAGATTGGAAAATCTCCACTGGTATGGGTAGGGAGATTTAGCAGTTATTCAGAAAAACTGGAATGATTTATAGCGAGGCAGTGTTTTATAATTTAGATCGCTATTCATCAGAATCCGCACACAATTTTGCTATACCTCTGCCATATCTTGAAGCTGGTCTCTGAAAATTTAAAGTTATCCCTCTAATACTCTTGTGAATTGTGATGAACTAAAAATTTTGGACACTTAAAGACACAAGATATGTTTATGATGAACTAATACTTCACATAGGACAGTGGAATGAAGCAGTAGTAACAAAGAAAAAAGAAAATAGAGAGTAGCATACCACATTGTGCAAGTCCTTTTCTGGCACCCAAAGGTATGGTTGCCCCCTCCTAAGTATGTACTTAACCTTAGATGTATGAATGTCCCCCTTGCTGTTGAAATCATGCAAAAGTAACCAACACCCATTAGCAAAGTACCAGTGCTGACAGAACCATCACGCCACAGATTAAACAACAACAACAGAAAAGGAAAAGGAAAATCTTTACTCAGCATGTTAGTTAAGTTGGGCAAGGAAGTAAGGGTACGCTTAAGGTGTGTGAATTGTGCTGTGAATAGAGAAGAAAAAGAAAAGGGTGAAATGGGTACCTTCCTTTGGCATCAGCTTTGATAGTATTAAGGGAACCTTGCCAATTTGATGCCAATATATTCTGCATGTATAAAAAGGAAGCATGTGTGAGTTTGAATAATGCAGAAAATGAATAATCTTTTTGGTGCCATTGTGGAAAGGAAGCTATGAAATTTGAAGAGAAAGAGAAAAAGGAAGAACCTTGCATTTCTCAGCGAATGTCAACACGGTTGCTTTGTTGCGCTTCATGGGTCTGAGGGTGCACACCTACTGCTCGATAAAACTACTATAAGTGTTAGGGCTAGCAGCCAGTGCTTTGGAGTTTGGAGTGGAGCCTACGCAGCTAACTCTACTTCAGAATTTTGATGACAATTTATAGGATTTATTTCTTCTTTGGTTTATGGACTATTTGATTTGTATTTTTGTTTAATATAAAAAAAATTATGTCATTATTTATTATGTTAGACTTCAGTATAATTTCATATTTATACTAATTTATAACTAGAAGAGAGCTTATTTTGCTTTTTTTTTAATCATTATTCTATTTTCAAACACATTTAAAAGGAATAAAATTATATATTTTCAAACTAACTCAACTAGACTTTTCTTCCCTTTAGAGGGAAGATATTCCTTGCTTTGATCCTTTATGTTTATAATAAACTTTTTTTTCACCAATGTAAAATGATAATTAAAAAAAAAAGAAGTAGAAATTTTTATGTATAAAAAATATTCATCAAATAATAACGATTCATCATCTCTATAAATTAATTGATTAAACGCAAACACAGCTTTCTGATTTTTTATATTCATAAATTATTTCATGAATTAAATTTAGGTGAATCAGTATTTTTTTTTCTATAAAAAGGTTGATATTATAAGAGTTGGCAATTGACATAAGTGAAATTGAGCATCAGCAGCTGGAGCAGGAAGAGTGATGAATTCGCCAGAAGAATGTTGCGGTAGGAAGAAGATGGAGAAAGATGTTCATGTGACGTTTCTTGAGATGATGTATTATTTGCTTCCATCCGCATATGAATCCCAAGAGATCAACCATCTCACTCTCGCTTACTTTGTCATCTCTGGCCTTGACTTCCTCAACTCTCTTCATTCTGTACACACAACAATCCTATGTTTTGTTCTATGTAAGCTGTTATATTTCGTTATTCATTTGTATGCTCATGTTTTTCTTCAATTTTGTTATTTTTTGTGTGGTTTAAGGTTGAGAAGGAAGCTGTTGTCAATTGGGTTCTGTCTTTCCGAGCTCACCCTGGGACTCAATCTGACATCAACGATGGTATGCAAATGCACTTTTTGGCTGGATTTGATCTCCAAAATTTGATTTTTAATTGACCCATTTGAAGGGTTTTGCTGCAGGACAATTCTATGGCTTTCATGGTTCCAAAACTTCACAATTTTCTCCAAATGAAAATGGGGTGTGGAAAAAGTTTTAAATTTTGAGGTGGTTAACTTCCGTTTTTTTCTCTGTTGTTGATGAATCCTAATTTCTTTATGTTGTTTATTTATTTATTTGCAGGTTTTGGTCCACAACAATAGTCACTTGGCAAGTACTTATTGTGCCATTGCCATATTGAAAATTGTTGGATATGAATTGTCCAGTCCTGATTCTGAATCAATTGTGACTTCCATGAGGAACCTTCAACAGCCTGATGGAAGGTATGCTTTTGAAACTTGAATTCGGACCGTGGCCTTTATGCTTATGCATTGGTCATATCAATAAAATCCACCGCTGTTTTTCAATTTTGTGGTCTATAGTTCCCCAGATTTATGTCAAGATTTACGCCCCTAGCAATATTCTTTATTATAGTTACTTCTTATTCCTAAACATTTTTATCTGTGTTGATAGTTTCATGCCTATTCATACTGGAGGTGAAACAGATCTTCGGTTTGTATATTGTGCTGGTAAGTGAAAAAAAGACATGAAATGATGATTCTAGCTACTTAGTTGGTTAATAAATAATCCTGGATATATTATATCATTTTAACTATTTGACTGCCAGCTGCCACCTGTTTCATGCTGGATAACTGGAGTGGCATGGACAAGGAGAAAGCCAAGGATTACATATTACTTTGTCAGGTTTGTGAAGCTAGTTCATCAACCGCTGATAGGGTGTGAGTATTATCTGTGTGTGCGGGTGTGTGTGTGTGCATAAATGAAATTGACGTCTTTGTTTTTTTGGGTTATTTCTAGTCTTATGATGGTGGCTTTGGATTAGTTCCTGGTGCAGAATCTCATGGTGAGCTGAAACAATCATTTTATCGGAATTTAGATGTGATTGCATATTGTGAGGAGCTGTTGCAATGTTGTTAGTTGCATTAATGATCGGAATCTTTTGTGTGAAGTTCTCTTTTTCATGCTAATGTGAACCACATGATAGATTTGTTTGATTATGCTTTACAATAGTCTTGGCCAGTAGGAAGTTGAAATATAGGACTTAATACTGATAGTTGAAACTATCTGATAAAGAGATATTTTCCTTTTAGAAGATATTAAGATTTAAAATTGTTTCATGAAATCCTAAAATCAAGTTTGAAATTTGAAGAGTGTAAAGTTTTAGCCTCTTGGCATGTTTTTTTTTCTTCCCCTATGATTGGCTGGACAGATTGGTTTTGATGTTTGAGAGTATCATTCATTACAATATTGATTATGGATTGCCTTCTGAACTAGCCTCAACATTTTTATTGATATTTTCTGTAATCATTGTTTTTTCCCTCGAGTATTGACATAATACTACGAATTTCTGTAATCATTGTTCTTATTGGCTAGTTATGTAGCAGGCAACAATGATAATAACCTGTTAAAGCTCCATTCAATTTAAATTTTATCTACTTGAATATAATGATTCTGGTTAACGACTGTTGTTTTTATATTCTGGGCATGCATCTTGAATGGTTGTCTTCATCCACTATGTGGGTTTATTATTTCTTGAATGATATTTATCAACATTGCTTGTTCTAGTGTCACAGGTGGTGCAACTTATTGCGCTATTGCATCTCTTCGATTAATGGGATTCATTGAAGATAATATTCTGTCAAGTTCTGCTTTGACTTCTTTGATAGATGTGCCATTGCTGCTGGACTGGATCTTGCAGGTTTGTACATCCAAACTCTTTCAATGTAAACTGATTAGATTGTATTAATTTGTAAATAATCATTGGATTAAGGGTCATTTTCAGAACCTGTTTATTTGCAAACACCTTTCAGATAATGGCTTGATTATTTTTCTTACATTGAACACTTAAAGCTTGGTTAATTTTTTGCTCTTGAATCGTTTGCCCGTGGATCAAGATTCACTAATTCTGTCTTCCTTTTCAGAGGCAGGGGACCGATGGTGGATTTCAAGGTAGACCCAATAAATCTAGTGATACGTGTTATGCATTTTGGTAAGCACAGTATGGAGCCTTTATCAATTTCTACGGTATTCTATTATTTGTTAGTTGTCAAAGCCATGACAAGCATTATGTTTGCTAGGATTGGAGCCGTTTTGAGGATTCTAGGGGGCTACAACTTTGTGGACAGTAAAGCTCTACATGAATTTTTACTTTCTTGTCAATATAAGGTACCACATCTACCATTCTGTTTTCCATAAAATGTGTTGTAGATTTTGGGGTGAAAAATGTGTGTGTGTGTGTAGCACAAAGTTTATGGGAAACTAAGGAAAGGAAAATAGTGATAGTGATTTAAGTTAAACCGGATTTTGGTATTGCTGATGGAACTTGCCCATGATAAGTAATAAGAAGGTAGAGCTTGTAAACTTGTCAAGTTTGTAAGAATGACGCGTTTCAGACTGCTATTATTTTGGTCAGATTGGACTCATGCTTTAGAGAAAACCATTGGTTTGGTACTTTAGTCCATCCATGGAAAAGAAAGGTCAAGTTTACATACTTAGTAATTGGTGAAATGAGGATTTAAGTTCACTTTAAAAAGACAAGAATCTTTTTTACCTTTCAGGGGGGATTTTTATGTGATATTAGTAATTCAAATGTTTGATCTAGTTTATATTTTGCTAATATTTTGTTTTTCACCAGTATGGTGGTTTCAGCAAATTCCCAGGAGAGTTTCCAGACCTGTACCACTCCTACTATGGATTTACTGCTTTCAGCCTGTTGGAAGAATCTGGCTTGAAATCACTTTGTTCTGAACTTGGAATTACAGGAACAGCTGCAATGGGACTCTAGCTTAGATATGCATACTTTTATTTTTTATTTTTGGGTATGCTGCATCTTTAAACCAAAGATTTCTTGCATATTGTATGAAGTTCACACCACTAATCCACTTTTGATTGACTTTACTTTTTTATTATTTTTTTTTAATTTATTTGGACTGTAAATTTTCCATATGGTTGTATTTGTGTGCACTAACTCAGGTCATTGGATTTCTTTTCCTTTTTACAAGGCTTTTTTTTTTTCGCTTTCTATTTGTTTGATTTAAGGCAGTTTATTATTGAATTTGCGATCTGAAGTTTGAAGCAATGATAGATAAATAGATATAGATCTAATTTTATTAGTGAAAAAAAATAATGATAATGGTGACATGATTATTCTGACCTAAGTTATACAACGATTGCAAATTATATTGTCATCGATTTAATTTACGTGACACTGTAAGTGGTTGGACATCTTGGTCAGAAGAGGACAAGAAGGAGCCAATTTCCGAAGGAAGAAAACTAATAAATTTTGTGAATTTTGGGCAGAGTCTATTTAGTTTCCAATTGACCATAGTGTCATTAAATTTGAAGTTTGGCGATCATTTTTAAGTAAAACGTTTCATCACAATATTAAACATCAATTAAAGCTGCAATTGACTAGAGAGTAAAACCTTAGATCGAGAATCTAGAGAAGAAAAAAAGGGTTCAGAATATTCTCGTAAGTTGGCCTAGCACCAACGTCTTGCTTTAATTTTTTATCTTCAACGCTTCCAACAATTTTTTTCCTTTTAATTGACAAGAAAAGATTTTATTAACCTTAGTCGTTAAGGGCTGAGAATAAGATTAATAATAATAAAATTTTATTAAAAATATTTATTACACTTATAAATTTAATACAATAAATATATATTTTTATATATAAAAAATCAGTTTTATTCTAAGAATTGAAGTTAACAAAATTTATAACAAAAATAACTTTTTTTTTCAAGATAATCCAAGAGAGGTTTAAAGGCTGCAATTTGATTAGTATGCCAGGGAAATGTTAGTAACACACTATTTTATTATCAGACAAACTCTAATAAGATCAATTGTAAAAAATAGTGGACAGAGTCTCAATAATAATTAAAAAAACAAATAGAAAAAATGTGTTAAAAGAATTTATTACAAGCTTTTCTCTTATATAACAACGTATTTAAAAACTAAAATTATCCTACTACCAGTTGTCCTTTTTCCGTGTTTAATTGAAGTTATAAGAGGTCTAAAGCCAAGGAACCATCCCTTTTTGTCTTGTTGAAAGAGCGAAAAAATAAGGGACATATAGATATTGTGTTTATTTGGAGCCAAATAGGCAAATTGCTGTGTTTAGTGTGATATATATGTACTATGAACATGCAATGGAAAAAGATCTCAAGAAAAGTTATGCTTAAAGCCATATTTTATTCTTTATTCTGACCTGTTATGATTCTTCAACGTGGTAGTGGGGTTAGAAAGATGACACTTTCGGCCATGACCCACGAGACATATTCACGGGCAATTGCATCCCTTGTTGTTTGGCAAAAAGCCACAGAAGCAGAGCCTCTCTTTTACCAAATTTGTCACTTAGTTGAGTGGTGCTTGTCTGAGCAATATGCAAAAATTAGCCATCACCTATCCAACATGCCTCACCACTAGTCCTTCTTTGATCTTCATCACATTTTGATCACACGGTAGATATCATTTCACCACTTAGTTTAAGAGGTAAAAACATGGGGACAAAGATGTAGAAAAACATGACATGGGACAACGTTGGTTTAACATATGTCTCATTCACAGGCTTGTAAAGAGTAAAAAAAAATAGCAGAGACCCTGAAACAATTCTTTCAATGACCTTTAGACAGCTGCATGTATGAAAGAGGTAGGACCATCTCATCACTAAAATAAAATGAAAATAAAAATAATAATGACAGTGTCAGATGCATCAACAAAATGGAAATTTCTGTGAGATTGAAATATTAATAAAATTAAAGAAAAAAACATAAAGTTGCCAATTGCATCAGACCCACCTTGAAGCATTTAAGACCAGAAAATATTGTCCCCTATATCTTTTTAAAACATTGAGCGTACATTCCACAACTGGCTTAGCAAATTAAACCATAACTGCCTCCCAAAACAAACAAACTCAAGGGGAGAAACAAATTCCCATAACAAAAAAAGTGGAATTTTTCACAATGTAATTAGAAAAAGATTAATGAAGAAAAGAACTCTTAGTGGTCTGACAGACTTCGATGTTAGCTGGTTTCTTCTGGTTTGGTGAACTGAGTGGTGAATGTGTCAAGAAGCTAAGGGAAGTACCTGTGAAGTGCCTGAATGGTATTGTGGTGGATGAGACTGATGATAAAGCTCTCTTTCTGTTTTCTTGTCAACAACTATTGTGACTAAAGAACCATCAACCTCATCTCCATTACCCTTATTATCATTTTGCAATTTTCTTCTTAGCTTCTCTTCTGCTTCCTGTAAGAACTTGAATTTTGGAGGAGGTGATGACTTTAATCTGTTGAACTCTGCATCAGTTGCTGTTTCAAATAGAGGATTGAATCCACGCTGGTTATAGGGGCTAATAGGAGTGAAAGGAGGAGTGAAAAAGGGTGGAGAAGCAGTAGGTGTCAAATATGGTGTTTCCACAACAAGCAAATCACCCAAGCTTCTACCCCTTGAACCTTTTATACTCTTGTCACCCCTAGATTTTCCATCCTCAGATTCTAAATCCTCCTTTGATTCTTCTACTATTGTGAACAAGAATCTTGGAGGACCTAAGAGATCTTGCTGCCTCATGTATTCTGCTTCCATGCCATCTTCTCCAAAGGGTTTGAAAATAAACTCCTTGCTAGTCTGAGACTGAACTTGTTCTGGATCATGAACAAGAGTGTCACCAATTCTCATTGAAGAACAAAGCTCAGGCGGAGTGAAACCCGTTTGCCTCAAAGAAGTTGATGGCCTTTTCCAACAAAACATGTAGAATAACTCTTTCACAGGGTTGCCATAGTCATTTTCAATCTCTCTGTTGGTTATCCTCTTCTTCCACCATAGCAAGTAGTAAACCTCAGCTACCAGAGCCAACAGAAGGCAACCAAAAATAATACTCAGACCAAGACCTACACTACTCAAAGATTTCATCTTTGTCCTCAAATCACATTGAAAACACTTTAAACTTGTTCTACCTCCCAGGATGCTCAGTGTCCAAACTAACCCAACATCTAATCCAGAAAATCACATTAAATAGACCAATGGGCTATTAAAACAAAATCAAAACCTAATTTCAACAAAGACAAGACACATGTTTAAGAGTTCAGGAAAAGCTTACTGGGTAATTAACTAACAGTCTGAACTCTGTGATCTGATCCTGAATTCAAGCATGAAAATCTGAACAACCTTTTTGACTAGAATTCAATCCCATGCAACATTATAACTACACCCCCTCCCCACCAATAAAGCTTGACATAATGACAAACCTTGGTAGCAAATTGAAAAGCCTCTCAGAACACCAATCTGCCAAAAAGGGCCAACCAAAAAGCTCTCTTTCTCTCTCTTGAAAGCAACACTTGCAAATCATAAGCATCAGCCCATGAACCTTTAGCTTTAACCCCACTTAAGATCAAACACCCTCATATGGATTAGCCTCATCATTACCCTCAAACCATGCAATGTAGCACTTTTTAACAAGTGAAAAGAGAATAAAAAAAATCCCCTAAACCATAAACCACTTTGTGAAGGTGCCCAAAAACCATGAGCCAGAAAATAACTAGAGTCCAGGTGTGAGAGGAGTGAGCATGTACCTGTCTGGCTTATGGTTGGGGGGACTCGTCCTTCGAGAGAAGCTCACATGGGATCAGAAAAAAAATGGAAAGTGACATGTCAATATGTCATTACATATCTAATATATAACTTATAATGCAAGATCCTTCAAATAAGGGAAGATTTCTCCCATGACTCTAGTTGGTACTTGGTGTTATGTTACTCACTGACAATGTGGAGGGACAATGATTCCTTATCTGAAAGCTTCCCACAAGTTTTTTAAATTTTAATCATGGTTTAAGTTGAACGTTTTTTATTCTTGCATGATTTTTGTTTTGACTCAGAATATTGTTTGGAAGTGAAGCAACATTGCTATTGCTTCCTTTGATTCATTAGATCATGATGTCCCTATGCAACAAACTTAAATGGCGGGAGAATTTGTCATTCGGCCATTAATTAATTGATTGAAATTCCTTCCATTTGGACTCTCATACATTTTCATTACCTTGTCTCAAGGGTAACACTAACACCGGAATTAATAATATATAACATGATGGGCCACAAAACCCTATGATGTTAGTTTGAGCCAGCTAGGGGGTTTTATATTGTTTCCCTTTTTTAACAGTAATTGATTAATTAAATTAATAGCGATATACTTAGTGTGTGTTTAATTATCCGTTAAAATTTCACATATGTGTGTTTCAAACGTAAAAACTACTCTTAGTAGCTTTAAAATTATTCACATCGAAGCTGAATGAACGTAAAACCAAACATGCTAGTAATAGATTAGTTATATTGCATGAACAAATGAGTTAAAGTAACCTCTACTCTACATGTCATAGCATGCAGTGAATATTTGTACATTTGTTGTGGATTACTTTTAACGAAAATGATGCTGTGGACTATTATTACTTTTACACACGTATATAAAAATACAAATTCATTACCAAGTTAATATAAATTTAAACACGCTATAAGTTTAACCCAAGCTCAGTTCAATACAAGTTTAATTCATTATAAACTTACAAGTTATTCGTACTTAATGAGTAAATATAAGGATTTAAGGATAATGTTTTTGGACCCCAAAAAAAGGCCAAAGCAAAAAAGAAAATTAATAAAAAATCATTAGAAAAGAAAAATGATTTTAGAAACCAATTACAACTGCATACTAAATAATTAGCATGTTTAGGACGAACTAAAAAAATGTCACCGACATATGTTTATTTAATTTGAAGGAGCCACAAGCCAATGCCTTTGAACTCTTGAGGCTGTTGTAAACTAATGGGGAACATTGGACTGGTTGGTTATCAATATCTGAATCTCTGTGCACATAAAGATAAAAAAAGAAAAATAAACAGTGTAACACTGTAACACGCAGTGAACCAGTTCACGAGCATCGTTATATTATAATTGATAAAGTGTGTATTTGAATTAGATTTTGTGTTAATTGAATTTGTTAGTAATTTTATT